CGTAAGAGTTCCCACCCCCCATCCTTCCCTGCAAGAGTTAAATGCTCATCAAGTCTACATACTTTTGTCTTCACTCCTGGGAGCGTCCTTCATTTTATGCAAGCGGTCCCCTGAAGCCTCTTGTCTAGGGCTCCCTGGCTGGCTATCATACTCTGATGCCATTGCATTCAATGCAGACCCAGTAGTCCTGCAGTGTACATGAGGATGGCGTGCGCCCAAAGCCTGCAAGAACAAGGAATGAGCCCAGCATTGCACCTTTCTTCCTCTACCCACTAGACCGAACCAGCATTTAACCCTTGCAGTGCAGGTGGACCCCATTGCGAGGGTGTTTGTGTAGTTCCCGGAGTGCAGCTTTAAACTCCCTGATTGCCTTTGGTGTTTGAGGCCCCATAGCTATGGAGCAATGTATACTGAATACATGAGCGCATTGCACACCGTAAAGGACGTCATTTTGTTCCCAGAGCCAGTACCAGTGAACAGGCAGGCTATACATTTTTGGAAACGGGTGATATTGTGGCTGAATCTGGTTATTTCCTCCTTAAAATCCTCAATTATTAGCATTCCAACGGGTATTACAAACATTCGATGACTTCATTTTAGCGGCTTTTACAAGCTCTCCTGCAGCTTTTATAGAAGTCATTGCCTTTCTCTTTGTGCTTCTGTTTCCATTGGATGTGGCACAGAGCCGCACTCTGAATCCTGTACAGGCGGAGCAGTAAAGCCAATGGAAACAACCAGCCAGGACAGGGAATAATAAAGATAAAATACACAGATGTGGCGCCACCCCCCTTTTACCCCTGAGTGCAGCCTGCCATATTAAATACTCAGCGGGGCTCTGTTCGGCTCCGCACAGCTTTTCCCACTGCTCCCATTCCAAGTGGAATACAGCTCACCCATAGGAATGAATGGAGCCGCTACCATACTAGCTGCAAAGCAGGGACGCCACTCGGAGTTTAACCAGCCATATGCAGTGTCATTGTGCCCCGAAGAGGACCGCTGAGGCTGGACTGAGGACGAAGTTGGGGTAGAGGTGGAAGCTGGGGATAACAGTGGGCTGAGGCAGAAGTTGGGGGGTAGCACTGGACTAAGTAGGAAGTCGGGGTGGTGGTGGACCAATGAGGAAGTGAGGGGGGGCACTGGACCAAGGAAGAAGTGAGGGGTGGCACTGGACCAGGGAGGAAGTCAGGGGTGGTGCTGGACCAGGGAGAAAGTTGGGGGTGGCGCTGGACCATGGAGGAAGTTGGGGGTGGCGCTGGACCAAGGAGGAAGTTGGGGGTGGCGCTGGACCAAGGAGGAAGTTGGGGGTGGCGCTGGACCAAGGAGGAAGTTGGGGGTGGCGCTGGACCAAGGAGGAAGTTGGGGGTGGCGCTGGACCAAGGAGGAAGTTGGGGGTGGCGCTGGACCAAGGAGGAAGTTGGGGGTGGCGCTGGACCAAGGAGGAAGTTGGGGGTGGCGCTGGACCAAGGAGGAGGGGGGGGGTGGCGCTGGACCATGGAGGAAGTTGGGGGTGGCGCTTTACCAAGGAGGAAGTTGAGGGTGGCGCTGAAGTAGGAGAAAGTTGGTGTTTATTTCAGCTCCAACCTGAGACTTCTCTCACAGAAGTCTGGCTCCTTGACAGTCCCCCTTGAAGCAGACCCCACACCTACAGATTTTTTTTTTTCTGTGACAACGTTTGTGACGTTTTTGGAAAACCGCCATTTTTTTAATATTCCTCTTCTCAGAGGGGATTTCACCAACATTTTCCAGCATGCCGGAAAATCTACCGTAACCAACACGCTGATTTTCTCGGCTTTCACCATCCCCTGATCCTAAACGCTACCAAGATGTGGGTAGCTGAGCCCAATCTTTTGGTTTGCTGGAGAATCATAGCAACGGTGGTTTGTTTAAGTGCTAGCGGGGTGAAGACCGCGTCCCGCCACTGGCAAAACGTGCATCTGCCGGTGCGACGCTGCCTGTTATCTATGCATTACAAGGAGGGGGACCTTCTGAACCGCCGAGGAGAGAGGCTGCAATTCAGCCGTGATTAATGATGTGTCCAGAACCAGTCCGCACAAATATTTCCTGCCTCTATTCTCCACAATTATTCCGCCCGTCTCCCTGGCAGCCTCCTCCAGTGGCCGCAGATGACCAAATGTGCCGGCAATAAAAAAAGAAAGTATTCAGCAGCCTGTAGATTGGAAAGCGGCGGCCGTGTCTACTTCTGCACAGTGAGGGTGACGGAACTGTCCAGGCCCCTCATAAATATATTGGCCACCATCCAGTACACCTGTATGTCACATTACACAGCGCTGGACCGGCTGCAGAAACACTATCCAGATGGGCACCAGCGATCGTTAAAAAAAAAAGTTAAAATGTATCTAAAGCCAATTTTTTTCATTTTGGATTGTGTAGGCAATTGCTAAAACCACTTTAATTTTTTTGCTATCGGTGTCTCATTGGGGATATTTCCCTTCACTTCCGGCCCTGTAGACACAACAGGAAGTGGGGGAAAATCTCTTCAAAGTGAGG